CCAGAATTAACTGTCCTGATTTGCGCTGATTTCCACTTTATAAGAGAGAAACATGCACTGCTCGCTTTCTTAAACTCCCTATTTTTCTCTTATTTTGCTGCGAAAATGAACTAATCTGCTGCAGTTCAACACACACTTGGTCTTGATGCTTTATAGACATATGTGAACATAGGGATGGAACTATGCTTAACGAGAAATTGCCATTGTTTGGAGTCATATATGCCAGACCAAATCAACTGGCCGTTCACATACACCCTCCACTATGTTGCAGTGATATCCGCCGTAGAACTTTATTAAGTCTCGTCTTCGGGGAAGACTGTGTGTAGCAAACAAAACAGACGCCGAAATTGCAAGTTTTGCCTATTTTAATCATACTTAATAACAGGTTGGAAATTGTGAGTTCTCTGTTTAGTCGGTTCGCCTTGTATATGAGACTGGATGTTTAGAAACATACGAGTGCGCACACACCAGAAGTGGAAGCCAATTCCGAAGTAAGTCCACTTTACACCAACCAAATACGGACAACATTTATGAGGCCTAGGCTCACCGTCGAGATCCATCAAAGTGGGGTGACCAGGAAATCCGGACAGGAGCCAAGGGTGGTTGAGAAGGCTACCTGAGAATTGGAGCCAGAGCCACCTCCTACGCTCTCATTTGGAGAAATTAGGACAACATGTGGACGCGGGAAATAGGACTATCACCAATGACTCACTTGGCCCGTGGTTTAACCGAGGTGATACTATCTTGAGGAAAGCAAAAAAGTTGTGCAAACCTATATCGCGTTAGATAGAGAAAGCACAACGGCAATTACTGGTACCGTAGAGCAATTAATTGGAACTTTGTAATTTGTCATTTTCAACCTGCAGATTGTGTTAGGTGTAGGACATTCAAGTTTCGAATGCTGCGGTTGAGGATTGGGTAGACATCCCTACGTCTAAAAGTCTCAGTCATTTGTTTAATAAACCACTTGTACAGCCTGGCTGCAACCTCATTGCATCTTTCAAAGCAACTGCAAGCATTGTACGACTGATTTTCAACTGTGCCAAACAAAGATTACGCCCTGCTATTGCGGACATAAATATTATTGCGGCAGAGAAAAGTAGCATCTCATAGGGGGCAAACTGGATATTCTGTGAGGGATTGTTTGGGGCTAAATACTAGAAAATGCAACGTAGGCTACTATGTTGGCTAAAGAAGAGGACTGGTTTAGCCGTGGCATATAAACAATCCCTCTCTTTCGATCTGGAACCAGATACCCATTCCTAAATTCTGGAGGGATACAGACTGTCATTAATGACACTAAAACCTTGACGCAGATGAGTGATGGCATAATTTGGATGCTGCCGATTTCCAATAATGTTTGTTCCTCAAAGCGTGGCGTGCTTTGACTACAATTCTAATAAATTGGAATACTTTTTTTGATCGTTAGAACTTTGGGTCATTTCTTACTTAGAGTATGATTGGCCAACTCGGCTCTTGAATTATGTGTTCGCTTTTGGCTCTGCCCTGAACTTTCACTGAGCATGATGACCTCTGCACAATGTCAGTAGGCCCTCAGTCCCTTCGTATGTTGACGATACTTATTCAACCCTAGTATTGCGCGTACCTTGGACTGCAGGATAGACTGAAGGGACTACACTTGAGTCACCATTCTGCTTTTTACAATTTTTTCCCACAAAGTATCACTTGATATGTTTCGCCTTAACCCTTAATTATTTGGAGTATGGTATTAAGAACGGAACCTTATAATTAAGGCTTTTGCAGCCAACACAATTTTGTCTACTCTTACTAGGTAATTTCTCATGTTACCTCAAAATAATCTTCAGCTAGTGCGGACAAATGCGTTTTCTGCGAACTCGGTTACTTCATGTCATTCAATGGTATCGTAGACAATGTTTACCATCTGTGCTTGATGATACAAAAGGAAATAAAACAAATAAATTTGCACTTAATAGTATTCAATTTTATCCGAACAGCTGATAAAATATACTTTACAAGTTGCAGTGCAAGTATTCTACACTTCAATTTTACACTTCAAAGTTTACTCCACAGTTGTCTTAAACACCGCTGTTCGATAAGGCGAATTTCGAGGATTTGGCCTTATAACCTCGTAATGTAGATGCAAGAACTTAACAGTGGTTTCAAGTTAGGCCCTTTAATGCGTAACCTAGGCAAATTAGTCAAAAGTTTTCAATGCCATGCCAATGTCTTTTTATCTCTCCTCGTTTGGAGATGCAACAAATGCCTGAGATGCATAAATCACATTGGAGAGAAGTTGGCGTGGCAACTTTGGTTTGAGAGGTGACATCATGTCTAGACAAACTTCATAATGGAGGAAAGGTTGCATTGTGAACACGCTTTCGCCTGCATCAGCCAGGTGCAAGCAGTTCAGGTAGTAGTACAGAATGTTGAGATGGTAACGAAGGAAGAATGGAAGTTGATCTCCGAGAATCGGTTGGTGTGCCTAAACGGTCTATTCCAATCTACAGCTTTTTATGAGTGATATTGCATTGAAAAGCATAAAAACATGGTGCAAGTGGTCAAAAATGCAGAGCCTCTTATTCTTCCTCGACTTGGACACAATGGTGTGGGGTGGGGTACTTTAGTTCCCGAAGAAGAAAGTCTGCCTCGATCCGGTGTCAGCAAGACGTGAAATGCATCCACGGTGGGACGGAGACTAGGCCATGATGGATGGGCCTTTACTATACAATCAGTATTTACTACGGTGCTATCTCTAACCAACAAAATATAACTACTTTACAATAAGTTCAAAAAATGAGAAGTCCCTTAATGTAACACACCTGCTGTCTTGTTACATCTAATCATTACTGCTGAAGCAGGTTTGGTTTTGGTTCAAGTTGCAACGTTCTTAAGAAGATGATCATGTCATACTACTGCCCATGCCGCACGTCTCGGGGTCAGCCGTTATCCAACAATGACTGCCTAAATGACCGAATTTTATAAAGCAACATTTTTACTACTTCAAGCTCATCTTTGCGCTATCGCACTATGCATAACATCTGGTGGTCCTGACGCCTTTTCGTTATTGAAAGCAATTCTTGTTTTATTGGTTGAGTTTGATTAGACCACTGGCTCTTAACACAGTTTCGGCCCATTCAGACGGTTATGACGGAGACACTATTTTGATCGTCTCTCTCGCCTTAACCACGAAGTAGTAAAGTTCTGCACCTCTAATCCTCATTTGGAGAAGGTATGTCACATTTACCGGAAATGGAGTCATGCAGAGAGTAGTGGGACGCTATTTAGCTGGGTAGTTCATATTTGACGTCGATTAAATGCTCTTTAGTAGTATGCAAAGGCCATGGGTTACAAATGAATAAAAAATGGAATGAAACGATGGATTGAATCATCACTTAACCTCGTTATGTCTGGTAACCATAGTTTGAAGCTAGGCTGCTGGGTACCTGCCTCTAAATTAACCCAATCTTTTACAACAAGGCTACGCAGTTTAATGAACCTTTTAGAACTATGGGTAAAAGAGAATAAAGGTTTCTATAATTTGGCCTTGCTGTTTCATCATACGCAAGTGACGTTCTAAATTCTTCCTTAACTACCTGATAAGGATGATTTACAGGAACTGAGATTATGCATTATGAATTTGACAGTCTCACTGATTGGTGATGGTTAGGATCTTGGGTTAGCCGAAAGGATTAATCAATTACCCAATTGAAATTCCTTGTTTGGCTCAGTGAAAAAAAATAAGCAGAAGCTCACTTTTATCGAAAGTGACAACATAAAGACTCTTACATTTGGTCGTCGGTAGCGTAAGGCCGATAAACTACAGTATTTCCCTTAGAAACTCAAATCATTTCGTCCAACTTTCCTTTGCCAATGGTTCATGAAGCCGGCCAGTCAAAGTTGGCTACAATAAATAAAGGGAGAGTAATTCAATATTAGCAATCATGCTTTGTTCTCTTCAGCAGTGGTTCTGTGGATCTTTGTGATCCTAAATAGGTTCAAATTTAGTTTTTATGGGAAGGAAATAACTTTGTACATCGTTATTTAATCAACGGTACACTTTGCTCTGGGTGTCACCTAGAAATTTCCCCACAATTAAGTCGTCAGAAGTCAGTCACCCTTTGAAATCACGATTAGTCGAAAGCGTAGTCCGTCTAGCCCATCGATAAGTGTTTCATATTATTACCATGACTCCGACACTGTTTATTCACTCCATCACAGTTGCAATTTAATTACCTGGTGGCTGACTGACTAACCGGCTACTTCCCACCACCTACGCAGCAGCTCCATTGTCAAATCTAATTTCCACCAACACACGCATCGGCATTACGTTACTCTCTTTCATTGTCTAGAGAGCAGTTTATGCAGCACTGGTGGCGTGTCATTAAAAATTCATCCACAATTGGTAGGGAAATGCTGTCTTCCATCCTCTCCCATTCATTACCCACACTCTTGCATAATTACCCTTGCCGAGGGAGCATATTTTTGAGCATGGTGCACTTGGTAGTACAGGAAAGCTTGACAAGAACAGTCAAAAACAGTCCCTTCCTTCATTCCCTTCTTTAAACCTTAACCAGACTCGCCATTCCTCCCTCATTCCTTAGACTAACCACCCTGGCCGATGAAGCATATTTTGAAACATGATACACTTGGGAGGATGGGGACACGATCCCTTTCTTCTCCCCCACCCTCCATCAAAAATCCATATTATTCAGGCCTAAAGTGGAAGCGATGGGTGCTCGTTGTCTCAGCACTAAGATGGAAATCGGTAATGCGATCATTTATGAAGGGGATCCGCGATCGTTCCCTTTCCTTGCATGTTACTAGCAGAGTTCTTCCTCGTGGAAGTCGGAATAAACCATGCCATAGACTGGCTTCCCATCATGCGCTTTCTTCATAGGGCATGCATTCTTGATGCCTTCAATCACCATTGCATGGAGTAATAATCTTGTAATCTCAAACACGATTTAGGTATTTTTCTGCAGAAATAGCCATCCTTAAGACAAGAGTGGTGAGTGCCTCTAGATTAAATTGATCTCTGTGGTCTGTTGAATTTTCATTACTGTAAGATTTTGGTTGGTCTTTCGATAGGGCGTGTCATTCTCTAGACTTACACTGCATTTCAGAGTTTGGCAAACGATTGGAATGTTGCGATATTGTGCATGCACATTTACTCTTGCATTATTATCTGCAATTTTGGATATGCTGTTGACATGACAAACTGCAGGTCTAGTGTAGGCGAAAGCAAAGCCCACAACTACCTAATTTAACATATTTTAACAGGAAGTAATGTTATGTTTGGGAAAAATGTGAACAAATAATTTACAATGTCATGCTATGTATGTCCTGGATACTTTAACTTATAAATAAACTTCCTTCCAACAAAAAAATCTTCGCAAACATCTTCAACTTTTCATGGTTTTAAGCATGACCCTTGCCTTATTGCATGATGGACGAAAATAGTAGAGGGGAATGTCGCATTTGGAGGAATAAACAAATGGGGCACGGAATTTGTTCAAACTGTAGGTGTGCAGGTGCACGGAAAACAGTTTATGACTCCAGCATACACGCTTTGGAATGGGCCACAGATTTTAAACCACTTGAATAATCGCCTTCTAGAGATCCTGATCCATCATAGGCTTAGCAGCATTGCAATGCATCGATGCGGTTTTCTTTAGTTTTGTCTTCCTCTATGCGCCTAGTGATGCAGACGTTTTGATAGTCCCACTGCGCTGTAATTTAGGGGCCATAAACCACAAAACAGAAGCCTCAACAGGTATGACCGTTTGGTTAGGAAGTACGTTTAGAGCCCACCTTCCAACTGGCTTCTCCCGCTTTGCTCTCGATGGACCAGAGCACAGCCCACGTTCTTGTTGGGCGGAACAGAGGCAGATGCCTCATTATTCATTTTAAACAGATAATAATGAAGTGCTTCAAAATATAATCTGGGCTTAGGACCCCGATTGGCGGAAGATTTGGTGGTATAATTTTAAAAGCTTGAAAACTGCAGTTCGAAAGTAATCTCAGCGAATATCTAAAAGTTGTTTCAGGTCAGCTTAAGCCTAAAGAGCACAAAGTAGAAATTGAAACATTCTGGGGTTTGCGAATAGAAGAGTCTCGTTTGTAAAATGAACAGTAGTGGCCTAATTTTAAATACGGATGACATGGAACGGACTATGCATGCAAATTGTCTAATTATAAACACACCATGGGCGACAATTTTTCAAAATTTGACTCTGAGCCATCTCCGTAGAAGTAATCTTTGCTTCACTCACCCTAATTCAAAATTGTTCTGTGGATCTGGAAAACAATTTGGAGGGCGGTGAAACCCGCTCCTTTTTTCTCACATCTTAAGGGTAGTGTAGGACATCATTGAAGAGTGACATTATTTCCCCTAAAGTAATTATAAATATTCCCCCTCTAACAGCATTAAAATGAGACTTGATGCGGCAGCAAAAATACATTTGATTTGGATGCGCACATAGTCACTACAGAATGGGCAAAAATAGTCTGAAAACGGATGCCCGTGAGCAATGAAGTGAATTATATGAGAAGGAAAAGAATGGAACGTGCATATGCTAAACCCACTGCTCCTTCATGGAGTGGTTGAAGCATCTTCACACTGGGAATAGGTTTGGACACTTGGGAAGCATGCTTCAAAAAATCCCATTCTCTTCAACTTGCGCCTTTGTAGATTGCTTCAGCTCGTTATAATCAAAAGGTCATATTATGAACGCCTTCCGAAATTTCACTTAAATTTTATTTACACAAGGTACTGATCGATTCTCAGACAAAGTGCCAAACTCTCGTGCGTCAACTTGGAATAAGGCGAAAAGTGGTGCTCGACTCCCTTTGTGGAATCAAGGCTCGTGTACTTCATGGCTGTCAAAGGATGTATGCTTCCCTCTACCACCTGCCATCACGCGACGCCAGACCAAGCTGAATGCGACAATCGGAGAGGTTGTAAGTCCCCTGTCCATTAATGAATATGTATAGCTTAAAAGCCTAGTGGGCTTTACAGCATCACTTTTCCTACAGTGATAATTTGCCCAAATTCTGTTCATTGGCCTGGAAGGACGGCCCAAAAACCCTTCTTCCTGCCATGGAGACAATGCATTATTTTGCCTTAGTTTTACCAAAATTAAAGAAGGCGAAACCTCTTTTCAGATATTCAAAGCTTAAAAGATGCCACTCTAGGCAACATCTTTGCTGGTATTATTCAGTATTTGGGTAATTCTTTAAGGTGCCCTTGTATTCACCTGGTGGTTTTGTGGGAATAATTACTTTCTGATAATTAAAGCTTTCTTTGAGCAGAAGCCCAAAATTGCCATCCCTACCGAAGGCAGGTCATTAATTTGTGATGATAAACATTTTATAAAAAATTGAATATGCGTGATTTTCTTTCTTCCAGCTTTTTATTTTGCTCACCTTCTAATTATGGTGGTGAACAAACCGTTTGATTTTACATCGCCCATAATGGATTATGATACGATTTTTTAACAAAAGGTAACATTATCACCTCCTTGCGAGCATTGAATTCGGAGGAGGTGATACCAACACATTTTCGTTTAAAATGCGATTTAAAAAGTGGGTTTGATTAACTGTCTACTTGTGTGGATAGTTCCACTACTCTGAGGTCCAAAAATACCGAGACACTGAGTCATTTAATTTACAAAGTGGATGACGCTCCAGATTTTGGCACACGCACAACAAAGCATCGCAATATTTTGCGAAGCATCTTTGTTGATAATGCAGAACGGATCAGGGCTACTAAATGAAGGCCTTTTGCGATGCTTACGAGTGGTATTAAAGCTGCTTTCTGGTTGGTTGTTCTTATTTTCGATGGCCTTTAACGTGTTATGAACTTGTGAGATCGAGGAGAGAGAGAACTGTGTCCAATTAACATACATGACAGACCGAATCCCTTAGCCGGCCACGTACACTACCTACTGAGGTTTAGTGAAATCTGCTGCTACAATCTCATAGTTTACTCTAGACTTTCGAGAAGAGTGGAAGTAACAAATACTCACAAGTAGTACAATTTGGTTATTTAAGAATGAAATTATGCAGTTAGCATTGGTGGCCAATTCTCGACGCACTTGCGTACCCCGTTGAATATTTTCTTCCGCAAGAGTAAGATGGATGAATGACACGATGCTCACCATTAAAGCAAGGAGAAAATATATGTTGATGCAAGTCAACTGAGAAAGTGACAAATTTAAAATAAAAATTTGCTTGATTTGTAAGGAGATGTGTGAAGCCAACTGGTATTAATGTGACTTAACTCTTCGTATATTAATGATGCTTGGCAATCATTTGCCGGTAATTTAGCTAAAAAATCATATTTTGTTTATGAGATACGAAGGCATAATAATATGCTTCTCAGTGAAAGGAGGTGTTTCCGGTCCAGTCTGAAATTTAAATTTATAACTGAGTTAAACAAATGCGACTGTAGCAGTACTGCATTTGGTGGAAGTCGGTGTGTGACCACACACTAGTAATAATTGAGCATATCCAAGACCATTTTAACCCCGGTCCAGTCAAATCACTCTTCATTAAGATGGAAGGCAATGGTAGAAGGTTTCTTGTCAACAGATTAACCGCGGCACCGTCAAGTCAGTTAGGCCGCCCCGATCACTGAATCATGCCGTCTCAGTCGCTCAGGTTTACGAGGAGAATTAAATGTTGTCAGTGTGTGTAATGTAACCAAACATTCTGTTTTAGTGTTTTGCCTCCTCCTCTTAACTTCAGAAAGGACCTGGAGCACCGCATCCGCGTGGTCAAGTAGGTTTCCCACTAAATCATACCACAATGTTTCAACTGATGTATTGTGCTCACATTCTAAGGGGTTGGGAGTTCATTATGCTCCATGCAACTTTCAAGAACGAAACATTCTTTCTGAGGTGTTTGTAGCCAACGGTATTTTATATATTCACTCTCGTAAAGCCGTATATTTGAAGTCATTTTTAATATAGAGGAGCAGGCTTTTGGAGGTCTCACGGAAGTTAAGTCTTCAGATGTTTTGGTACAAACGCATTACTGACTCAGGTTTTGATGACAAAACAGAAATAAAATATGTCACCTCCCAATCACTAATCTAAGATTAAATCTAAGTAGCAAATAAGACCCACTCTAAAAGTTACATGCCGTGTGTGTAATTAATGCTTCCCTTTTCCTTTGGAGACCCACTACTCTATTTTCATAACCATTGATTTGACAGAGAGAAATTTTGAGATGTTGGTAATAAAATAGCCGGTGACTTGGAGTCAGACTATCAAATGCATAAATCAGTTAAGCAAGTAAAAATTAGCGAAAGTAGGGATAAGGCTTCAACATCTAGTGTAGTTTATTGGCAGATTCGTGGTAAAGTGCCACCTAAGTCATTCATAAATCACATGGGGCCTGGATTTTACCCTAAAAACGATAACATCGTGGCACATAGGTGTCCTTAATTACAGCTCTCGCACACTCTGAGGCAACATTCAAGCTTTCCCCTCCCTCAATATGAGAGGGTCGAGTAATATAGTTCCTTGCAATAAAGACTTTAAGCCCTATCTTTCTTCTTTGTTTCTGAAATATCTCCCTTTTCCCATCTCCGAACATAACCTACTCAAGCAATTCCTATAACTCTGCTTTATTTTCCATGCATTGTATCTGAACTCGATGAGGAGCTCAAAAAGCTAAACTGCATTTCGGGAGTCACACGACGTTGCAGTGATGAGGTTGGGGATGTCATAGGGTGAGAGGAAATGAGTGATTCTGGGTAATGTGCTTCTGAATGGATTTTGTGTGGCAAATTAGCGTCCAGTGAGATGACGAGGAACGGCCCCCTCTGTCCTTGCCTTTTGCATAGTTTGAATTTTCACTTCATTGCAATAAATTTCGCCCAACGAAACACAGCATTGCTTCTCTTCAAAGACGAACAATAGTTTTACTCACCCATCGAAGTCCTATTCCTCAAGAACTCTTGTTTTCAATTGGTATAGAGCAAACGAGAGCAAAATATATGAATATGCGAACATGTATACAACATTATGATTCGGTCTGTCACAAGATCGATGTCGCAATCACATGATGTTTGTCCTTTGTCACTCGATGATATTTCTTTACGTCAGGGTGTCACGAAGAGATGGATCGAATTATATGCACTAATTGAGATATAGGCTGTCATTCGGGTCTAAGGTTGATCGTACTTATTGGTAATTAATATGATAACAGTAATAGCATTGCTGTTGAGCTAACGTTACAATTTAAGGTGACAAGTGATTCGCGTAACAGTACAAAAGTGGATTTTGCACTTTGTCCATTATTTGTTTAACTCCTTGTTTTGCCTACACGGACACAACTGTCTCCGCCATTGCGCTACCTGCTAGCAGCAGGTCATCCAGGATCCCCACAACCTTAATTGACGTCTGTGTGACAGTTTCCGCCCTAGTACTACGCCTTCTTTCGACATTAGGCGGGACCCTGTGTGCTACAGTTTTGCACAAGTAGTGAAGGAATAACGTGACAGCTGAGAATACTTAAAAACGACTCTGATTTATAGAAGCAATCAGTCAAGATTAGATGTGCTTTTCCATTTCTTTACTAACTTGCTGCTCACTTACTCATCTTGACCAAGGCTAGGTAACACACAAGTCATTGGTGTTAAAATGGAATATTAGTCTGTAGACACGAAAATCCCCCTACCATCGCAGTAAGGTAGGATATTAACGAAATACAACAAACTTTGTTATTGACTTCAAGAGTCAACAATTTAGAGACAATCATGAAAGGGAAGTTTCAGTACTGCCCAGAAGAACAATCGGACGGGATAACAGAGCAAGGCTTTGCAGGGTTTCGGTGATTTATCAGCAGCAATTAGTGGATGTGAAGGTTGCTCTGAAGCTTTGTCAGATTATTCAGACTGCACGATTAATTAAGCTTAATATCAAGCAAAATATGTAGACTGTCCACAACAGCTGAGAAGGACCTTCATTGAAATATGTTGCCACATTCGGTTCCTCCATTATGTTTCCGTGCCTCTGGACTTCATTTAAGCTCAGCACTGTCTTGCCTGTGCACTACATCACTTAACACATTTCCGCTTCTGTCTGACAAAACTTCAACGGGACAAGCTAGATGATTTCCAAAAGGATAATGTACGTCTAAGTTGTGCATGTGTAAGTGTGTGCCCACGAGCTAGCACTCCTCATTCTGCGTAGGTTGTGGCCACAGCTTGATGGCGCGGTTTGTCAAACATGTCATTCCTGTTAACAGTCCAACCGCTACCCTGTAAATGTTAAGAAGAAAGTCCTGTCTAGCGTTTAGGAGAAATCTGTGGCTACACCTCAAATAGGTAAAATTTAACTTAAGATATTTGCTCTTTAGTGTTTCACACTTGCGCAACTGAAATACTCAGCTCAATATGATTAGAAAAAGGAATTGTGCAGAGGTTTGTAATCTTGTGACAAAGCCGCATTTAATAGTTTTCCAGATTATCTCGCTCCACATCACTTTTTGTGTAGCCTCAGAACAAAATAGTTTTGTGTACCGTTGCGGAGCCGTTGGAGCTGTTCAACGATCATTTCTGCGACGAAACACCTAGTTGGTAGAACATTAGATTGGGATGTTTGCAGATTTGTAGTGTAATCTGTTTTCAATCACAATCCTACAAAACGAGATGCATTTTCGATGGATTAGTTATGGCACGTTGAATATCATGATGGGTGAGCATGCAGGAAGTTAGAGTGGTAGACACGCAGGCGTGTAAAGAAAAAAGAAGGTAGGCGGATAGACAGTAGGTAGGGATGTAGGTGGGTACTTCATAAATCTACTAGCAAGTAGCAAAATTTAACCTTCCTGCCAATTGTACTTTTATCCAATGAGAAGTGGAAATTATGTGGTCTCACTACTGACAATTTACACTGTACCGATAGTGCATAGTTAGAAACACACCATCAGTGAAAGCTAATTCCAATCAAAGT